AAAAAAAAAAAAAACTTAACCTGGTAAATATCTATCACAAAAAGAAATGTTCAGTAAAATCATGGGATATTCATGCTACAGAATGCTTTTCAACTATTTAAAAACATAATGAAGTAGTTCTATCAAGGAACTGTATCTACAATGTACAAACAAAACAAATATTATGTAAAGTGTTTGGACATTCAGTTCACACTTTTTAAAAAACATTATTCTTGAAATAAAAAATAAACAAGAATACAAGATAAATAAATGTATTCCATACTTTGTCAAGCTGCTAGAGTGATCTCTGCCTTTGCCACGAGACCAAATGGAAAAAGGTTTCAGCTCTTGCTAGCTGTTCCTTTCAGGAGACTTGTCAAAATGATTGACTCCCACCTTCCTGCAGGCACAAAGAAAATTAAAGGATCTTCTCATCACTTTCAACTCTGCTAATTACAAAGTCAACTGTATTGTGCTTCAAGGTGCTCCATCTATTAATTTTAATCTTGATTTCTTTTAAATACCACAAAGTTGGAATTTTTTGAGTCAAGAATACCAAAGAAAAACCTTTAGAGGAAAAAAATTATGCAACTCAGGAACTTGTTTTGTTCCTTCCAACAATTTGTACTTTCTTAAGACTATCATTTGCTCGAGTAGGATGAATACTGATTTGGGCATCCAAAGACTTAAGACTCCACTCTTGGTCCTGTCACTAACCAATGCTATCCACTAGCCTCTTAAATCATTTGAATTATAAAACAGAAAAGAGTAGAGTAGGGCCACTGGGTAATAATTTTTTTGAGATCAGGTCTCACTATTTAATTCAGGCTGACCTTGAACTCACACCAGTCTACCCCAGCCTTCCTAGTGCTGGGATTATAGGTGTGCATCAATACACCAGCTTGGGCAATGTTAAAACTCCACCAAATCTAAAAATTCAGGGGCTGGGGAGATGGTTCAGTGGAATAAGTGCTTCCCTGGCAAGCGCAAATGCCTGAGTTCAATCCCCAGTTCTGCCAAAAATAAATAAATAAATAAAAATTCATCATTATCACACAAAAATCTAACTTTATACTGCAAAGAGGGGCCGGGGAGATGGCTCAGTGGAGTAAGCGCTTCCCTGGCAGGTGCAAGGACCTGAGTTCAATCCCCGGCTCCGCAAAAAAAAAAAAAAAAAAAAGAAAAAAGAAAAAAGGAAAGCTTTATTTATATATATTGCAAAGAACCAGGTGTGGTGGTGCACACCTGTAATGCCAGCACTTGGGAGGCTGAGGCAGGATTGCCATGAGTTCAAGGCCAGACTGGGCTACAAAGTGAGTTCAAAGCCTGGCTAAACTACATAGTGGGGCTGGGGAGATAGCTCAGCGTTCTGAGCACCTGCCTGGCAAGTGCAAGGACCCAGGTTTGATCACCAGTACCAGACACTGTGCTGGCCCCAGAACCTTGGAAACACTGCGCCAGCCACTGAAACCAGACATGGTGGCGCACACCTGCAATCCCAGCACTGGGGAGGCTGAGACTGGAAGATGATTACAAGTCCAAGCTGCATAGTGAGACCCTGTACCAAATAAATAGATAAGATTTTTAAAACCCTAAAAAACTACACAGCAAAGACACTGCTTCTAAGAAATAAAGATAAGGTTCTGTAGGGTGTTGTGGAACAGCCTGTAAATTCATTTCAAAACTGAGGTAGGACTGTAAATGCTAGGCCAGCCTGGGAATCTTGGTGAGACCTTTGTGTAAAATAAATTTTAAAAAAGCTGGGGATGTAACTCAGTGGTACAGCCCTTCTTTATTACATGCGAGTCCCTGGGCTCAATCCCCAGTACGGCAACAAAAAAATAAATATAAAAGGAAATTAGCCAGGTGTGATGGAATGTGTCTGTAATCTCAGCACTTAGGAGGCTGAGGTAGGGTGATTGCCAAGAACTCACTCTACTCTGTAAATTCAAGGCCAGCCTGAACTACAAAGTAAGATCTGTCTCAAAAACAAAAATAAAGGGCCGGCCAAACAGCTCAGTGGATTAAAGCCCCAGCAGTTTGATCTCAGGGACTGCCCTGCCAGCCTACCCCCAGGGCACATTGAGAC